CGAAAGAAAAACAGTTTTACAGGCAACCCGTGGCAGTGATGAGAAAAGACCCACCATTGATTCCAGTGAAAGGTTCTGGAAACAGTTGTGGTCTATACCCGGCAACTGCAACCTTAAGGAACCATGGGTAGAGGATTACAATAATAATATACATGACAAAATAAGGTCACAATTGTTGTGTTTCATTACACCCGATTGCCTGAATAGGGTAATTAAAAAGTCCAAACGTAATACGGCGCCCAGGCCTGATGGTATTGGAAACCGGTTTTGGAAACTATTCTCATGTGTCCAAACACCATTACGTCATGTTTAAATTTTCTCGTGGATACAGGGGATGGATGTTCCACCTTGGTTGGGCAAAGGTCGAACAATGCTTTTCCCAAAGAAAGGTGATTTGACTGACCCTCAAAACTTCCGCCCCATGACTTTTCTGAATACACAGTGCAAAATATTTACAGGGTGTCTTACAGATCCTGTGTCATCTTGCTTCCAATGGCATTATTTACATGGAGCAGAAAGAAGACAGAAAGGGTTGTAAGGATCAAGTGCTAGTTCAAACAATTATCCTTGAAAAAGCTGAAACTCACCACCGTAACCTCTCAATGTGCTGGATAGACTACAGAAAAGCTTATGATTCTTTACCTCACGAATCGATTTTGAAGTCACTGGAATGTTTGACCTCCCCGAGCGAGTACTTGTTTTACTCAAGTCTTTAATGAACTGTTGGTCAACGCATCTTGAGGTGTATTCGCAGGGGCAGGTGGTGATTTCGGAACCCATTTCTATTAGAAAAGGAATGTTTTAGGGCGATTCTTTCAGTCGTTTGCTTTTTTGTATGTCGCGAAATCCGTTGAGCTTTTTGCTTAGCAAAGAGGAAGGTTATCATTCTGGACCTCCACAGTACAGATACCCAACAGCTCTAACTTACCCCCTTTACATGGATGACCTTGAACTCAATGCCAATGCAGAAACCAGACAAAAAAATAGATTCGCATTGTCGAGTCCTTTTCTAATGATATGTGCATATCCTTTGGGCTCGACAAATGCAACATTCTTCATCTGAAAGGTGGCACTCTCAACAGAGAGTTTTCGCACTTCCTGTGTTTACTGTATGGACAAACAACAACAAATGTAAGAACAAAATCTAAAACAAAATGTGTTTTCATTTTTTTTGTGGTTTATCGAATATTCTCTCCCGAGAACTGTATGAACTGAATACTCAATACGTCTCTAAATATCATTGCTTGTGATATGATGTTCTCGGTTTTCAAGCATTAAAATCCTGTAATCGCGTTGCGTATAACGATAAGCGCCTTAACTGATGGTATTACCGTAACAAGATACGCACTGACGCTTCGGGCTTTTAACGCCGTAAGGAGGTAGGCATTTAAACTGTCATAAAACGATTAGGGGTCTGATCGTCATCTACACATGGTCATATCGCCGACGGTACTCGTCTGTATGAAAATGCACTGTATGATATCCCTTCGGCGTTGAAACCGTCAATATGTTTTACTCTTAAGCAAACAATAGTCGCATTTACTTCTACTACTATAGACATCGAGCAGAATTATCCGCAACTACACTCAAATACTACTACTACTACTACTACTACTACTACTACTACTACTAAAATGATTTATTATACACACAATAATAGACTACCATCAAGAACAGCAGAACTATCCGCATCTAGACTTTTAGGGCACGCTTAAAACTAGAACGTTTCCAAGACCTAGCAATAGGTTGTGCACCGGTGCCGTGCAACTGTATGTGCAATTTTTGATAAGCGAGACATCTTGGACACACACGCAGTGTACAACTGATTTGATACTTTAAGAGAAAGGAAAGGCTATATGTCTGATTGAAATGTCCTTCACGGCTTTTCCCTACAACACATAGTGAGGTGAGGTGAAATTGGGTTTAACGTCGCGTCCAAGATTATTGCACTTATATAGCGACGTGCATGTACGTGTGTGTGTTTGTTTGGCTGCTTGTACTAGTCAGGACTGATGCCGATTTATAGTGCTAGCTCACTGAGATACCATGCCGCAGTTTAACATAAATACCCCACTCAGACACAGTATACTGACTCCGAGGCGACCAGTCCTTGTTTTAGCCCCTTAATGCCGAGCGCCAGACAGGGTTACAACAAGTACAATCTTTTAACGTCTTTTTGTATGACGCGGCCGGGGATCGAACCCCGGACCTTCCGCTCTCCGGGCGGACGCTCTACCACAAGACCACGGAGGCGGTCTACAACACATAGCAGTACGTAAGTATCACTGCACTTTGGGAGGAAACGTATGTTGATTTGAACGCCTGTTAAATAAATAAAATGTGACAATAAAAGAAACTACTTGCGACTTTTTTTTGTAGAAAATCGGCACGACATAATTACCTCATGACATTTATCAATTATGTAGAAAATAGTTCGGTCTGGGTTGCAGATTCCATTTGCAGGTAACAGAAAAACAGGAGGACAAAGGAATGGAAACAGCTTGTATTCGCTTACGATCTCATGTATGTATGTCTGGTTTTGTGAACAGGTCATTATCAGGTACTATGAACAAGGGAGTTATGATGAACAAGGGAGTTATGATGAACAAGTGAGGTACTATGAACAGGTCAGGTATGATGAACAGGCCAGGAACAAATCGGGTGCTATGAATAGGTCAGATACTATGAAAAGGTCAGTTCCTGCGAACGGTCTGGAACTATGAATATGTCTGGAACTATGAAAAGGTCAGGTACTATGAATAGGTCAGGTACTACGAATAGGTCAGGTACTATGAATAGGTCTAGTGCTATGAACAGGTCTAGTACTATGAATAGGTCAGGTACTACGAATAGGTCTAGTACTATGAATAGGTCTAGTGCTATGAACAGGTCTAGTACTATGAATAGGTCAGGTACTATGAATAGGTCTAGTACTATGAATAGGTCGAGTACCATGAACAGGTCTAGTACTATGAATAGGTCAGGTACTATGAATAGGTCTAGTACTATGAATAGGTCAGGTACTACGAATAGGTCTAGTACTATGAATAGGTCGAGTACTATGAACAGGTCTAGTACTATGGATAGGTCAGGTACTATGAATAGGTCGAGTACTATGAATAGGTCAGGTACTATGAATAGGTCAGGTACTATAAACAGGTATAGTACTATGAATAGGTCAGGTACTACGAATAGGTCGAGTACTATGAATAGGTCAGGTACTCTGAATAGGTCAGGTACAATGAACAGGTCAGGTACTGCGAATAGGTCAGGTACTATGAATAGGTCGAGTACTATGAATAGGTCAGGTACTATGAAAAGGTCGAGTACTATGAATAGGTCGAGTACTATGAATAGGTCAGGTACTATGAATAGGTCAGGTACTATGAATAGGTCGAGTACTATGAATAGGCCAGGTATTATGAATAGGTCAGGTTCTATGAATAGGTCAGGTTCTATGAATAGGTCAGGTACTATGAATAGGTCAGGTACTATGAATAGGTCGAGTACTATGAATAGGTCAGGTACTATGAATAGGTCAGGTTCTATGAATAGGTCAAGTACTATGAATAGGTCGAGTGCTATGAATAGGCCAGGTATTATGAATAGGTCAGGTTCTATGAATAGGTCTAGTACTATGAATAGGTCAGGCACTATGAATAGGTCAGGTACTGTGAATAGGTCAGGCACTATGAACGAGTACTATCAACAGTTATGATAACAAGCTGGATACAGTTAAACTTGAAACAAAAACAGCAACACAAGTTTAACACCACGAACACATCCGATGCTACTACAATAACACGAGATAGTCAATGAAGAAGCCCGGTTCCCCTCCAGGTAGAGTACAAAGAACTATCACAGAGGCCAATCTGTTAATATTGACGTGTTAACTAATTCCCCAGACTGAACCAGCAGGCTCTAGTGGAAATATATCAGTTGGCGTCTATTTGATAACACAAGTCACATAATCAAACAATTAAAAATCCGTTGTTCCTCAAACTCAATGCAATGAACAAACTATCACCTTCATCTGTAACTATACATTTACTTGTCCAGCATCAGCAACACACTAGCCTGTCAGGCTACGAGACAAACCGGGGGACAAGAACAGCTAAATTCTCTCCCCACAGACTATTAAAAACAAGTTGGTGTGAAAAAGCATTGGCTTCGTCGTCAACAAACTGGCATCTCTGCGAGACATTCTAAATGCATTACACGATGAAGTTTACAGTTTGTAGCATGGGGCTTTGATGATTGTCACATTCGCCCTACTTCCCAACAACCGCGGAACACACATAGAGAAGTGTTATACATAGGTGTCACAGTTTACACCTGCTGTGATAGGGATCACATATGTGTGGTCATAACAAGGTTGACAACACATCTGCGTTCACACCTCGCTTTAAACAGCGCCATCAGGTACATCTAACACTTTGTGAATTGTCGACTGTATACAACATTTGCATATCATTTGTATATGATTCAATCCGGTTGAAAATGTACGACGGAACTTCTTATGGTAATAAAAGTACTTTGTACATATAGTAAGGTTGTGTAAGCATCCAGTGTATACATGTTAAAATATGCTGAACCAGTTTCAAATTCCGATTGCAAGCAATGCTAAATTCGAAAGAGGCACTATTGCCTTGTTATGATGTCAATATGTGTGCTGTTTTCAGTTTTTCTGTATCAGGTGAACATCTTAAATAACACACATGTATATGATTAAAGTCACGTCCACATCCTTGGTGGAATGACATGAATTTTAAACATATTTTAAGGTATAAGACAATCGTAGTTCATAATAAATGCAGGGTGCCGATAACAGTCGATGGTCCCAGTATTGGCTCGTAAAGACTAGCGGGTACTTGTAAGGGTGGAATGGCAAGAAGAGGCAAGAATACTTGGTATAATGAACGGCTACTCCCTGTTATCCTCAAGAAAACATTGGCATCTATGTCGGCTCTGAAATGTAATCAATAGAAAACTGCACCTACCTTGGCTATGTGTGTACCGTGGTGTGACGGCGCTTCAAGAGACAGTAGCGAGGGCGCTCCCGACTTTTATCGGCTCGTGGACCGTCACTAGGGAGGCTCAGCTGATAGCGGGGAGCAGGCAGGCGGACTGTTGGAAGCACGGAGATGGAGGGTTATGCAGGGGGAAAGACGCGCTAACGGGCGGTAGCCACTTGCAGTTGGAGATGGGTGGGACGGAGGACAACAGGTGGAGGGTGGAGGGTGGCTTGAGGGGGTGAGTTAGTGTCAGCGCACCGCTACCTTCTCACCGGGATAAAGGACACAACGGCCCCACGCAGCCTCGTTTGAGATGATCTTGGGGAACGCTCCCTCTTACCTCCTCTTTCACCCGTACGGGAAGTAATCAATAGAAGGCCGTCACACCGTCCTTCAGACTGTCCACGTCTCAGCGACCCCGTGGCACCTACGAGGCTGACGTGACGTCATCGTGACTGTACCCACAGGTGTCCCCGTGTTAACGTAACACATTACATAGCTCCAGAGAATATGATAGCTAAATGTAAAATGTAAGCTGTTCTTCGTTTAACCCCGATTACAATAGTATTTACTTTTATTTTTTCAAATTATTAATAAACCCAAACAGCACACAAACCAAACCAGACAAAGAAAAATGTACCCAAGCATAAAAACTATCTTTACAGGGGAGGCTTCCGCACTAATATTGTTTTTTGCGAAAATACATGTTTTGGTTATTGTATTCATTTATGAGTGGAAAAAAAGTCAACGTCTAACCGGCAATGATGCAAAATATATACTTAGTTCTAAAAAGAGCTTTCAACATTTGTCAGTTAGGTAAGATATCAGTAAATTAAAATATACAATATCCAATAATAAAAGTGTCACATCACAATTGATAAAACAGTTCGATCTCTTTAACCTGGACCATAGATCATTAGACACATTAGGATACAGTTGTGATGTTAGTGTTGAAAGGCCATGAGGTTATATAAGTCAAGCATACATTGTGTGACATTATGATGACAAGAATCTCTGATCCGACCTTAAACTCAACCCTCTAGAACCTTAACGTACCTATTATGACCCTGATACGTGCTGATGCTGGAAGTAGGACGAAACAGTACTTTCGTCTTTTTTTGCCAGCAGCTAGTATCATCAATCACCTTTCCGTTTTTGTTTTGTTTGTTGGCCTATACCTCGTTCGGCATTATTTCAGCAGAATCCTGGTGGCGTCCACAGAAAGGAGTCCAGGACAGGCAAACCAGTGGTCGATAGCATGATGAACGTCCCACGCGGTAGGGTACGAAACGAGGCGATACCAGGGCCCACTTGCACAAAGCGATCTTAGCGCTAAGACTATTGTAAGCCTATGCTAAAGTATGGGAGTTACGATCATCTTAGCGCTAAGATCGTTTTGTGCAAGTGGGCCCAGAAGCCTGGCATATCTACGTTGTATGCTTTTCCTTTAACAACGATTAGCTGATGGGTGCCCTTTACACAGTACTGAACAATAGGCGCATTACACTCCATGGGTTCGATGAGACCACAGGCTTCTCGTATGGTTAAAGGCGACAGTTCTTAATGAACATCAACATATGTTGGTGCCCGATAGTTTCCTAGAACGCTATCGGACTGAATGAAGGCAACGCGGGTAACCACCTCTAATGACATGTTAACCTGATCCAAATGCTTCCCGATCGCCTCCGTGGTCTAGTGGTAGAGCGTCCGCCCGGAGAGCGTAAGGTCCGGGGTTCGATCCCCTGCCGCGTCATAGAAAGATACGTTAAAAGATGGTACTTGTTGTTACCCTGACTGGAGTACGGCATTAAGGGGATACAACAACAACAGGTCGGCTCGGAGTCAGTATACTGTGTCTGAGTGGGGTATTCATGTAAAACTGCGGCATGGTATCTCAGTGAGCTAGCACTAAAAATCGGCATCAGTCCGGACTAGTACAAGCAGCCACACAAACACACACACGTACATGCACGTCGCTATATAAGTGCAATAATCTTGGACGCGACGTTAAACCCAATTTCACCTCCCCTCACCTTACCTAAGATTTTCATTTTGGGCTTGTGACAGGTGATGAGACCTAGCTCGATCACAGTGATCCTGAGATCAAACAAAAGTCTTTGGAGCGGAAACACTTCGGGTCTCCCCAAACCAAGAAGATTTAAGCAACCAAATCCACTGAGAAAGTTATGGCCACCAGGAAAGACATTGTACACATCGATCGTTTACCACGGGGAACTACCATTAATGGTGATTATAATGTCAACGTATTGAAGATCGCACAAATGCATCAAAGCGTCACGGCAAATTTCGACATGGTGTTCACCTCTATCAGAGCAATACTCGAGATCACACCAACCATATTCATTTGGATACGTGCTTTAACCCCGCTCGTTTCCAAATGTTGTTTAACGCCACACGCAGCTATATGACGGCGGTCTGTAAGTAATCGAGTCTGAACCAGCAACCCAGTGATTGATATCATGAGCATCGATCCACGCAAATGGGATCGATGACATGCATCAACCAAGCCAGGAGGCCTGACCACCTGATCCCTATAATCGCCTTTTACGACACGCATGGGTTGCTGAAGACCTATTCTACCCCGGATCTTCACGTGTCTCGTTTCAAAATAAATATTTTGACATATTCAAATTTAAATTTGAAAAGAAACAAGGTCTAAGGACCAAGAATTGGTTGATGATGTGGAGGTCTGGTGACCAGAAGGTAACCATAAACAAATAAACCTCTGCTAAAAGCGGAGTCGATTGTAAGATTCCGATTATATCATGAGCACGTGTTTGTGAATCTCTATCAAATATTGATGATAATAGGTGAGCGTCCTCTGCCCAATCGATGGCACTCATCACAAACACATGCAGATGCAAGTCAATTGTTCGCCTGAGAGTCACAACAGGGAAATGCATCTGACATGTTTGTCACTGATGCGTGAAATTTGGAAATGTCTTCCATGTATCTACCATAAAACCTTTTAAAAGCTTTACTGGGGTCTTGCATGTTTTCACTCTGACCAAACAAATTTGTTCCACGCTCCTTGAAGTCTTGGTAGAAAGAGCATGCTCGATTGTTCCTCTAGAGTTGACATGTTGAAATGTTGACACCATTGCTTGATATAAAGAGAAAGTTCACAATTGGAAACCTGATGTCATCCCTCTTGCATAAAGAAAGAGAAGAGGAGCACAATCGGTGCCCATAGGGATGGTTACATCTTGCCTAGATGTCTTACCCCCACATCATACGTAGATGTTATAATGTTGGTTGGTTGGTTGGTTTGTTGTTTAACGCCGCACTCAGCAATATTCCAGCTATATGACGGCGGTCTGTAAATAATCGAAACTGGACCAGACAATCCAGTGATTAATATCATGAGCATCGATCCACACAATTGGGATCGATGACATGAATCAACCAAGTCAGCGAGCCTGACCACCCGATCCCGTTAGTCGCCTTTTACGACAAGCATAGTCACCTTTTACGGCAAGCATGGGTTGCTGAAGACCTATTCTTTCCCGGAATCTAGATGTTATAATGAAGCCCAGCATTTCACATTGTTGTTTTCCCAGTAGACTTCACATGACATCTGAAGATAGATATGTAAGTATATCTATGGCTACCACGTTTAGTGACAAATGTCCCATGGATGCATATGAGGTTTTTCCTTAAGTATGTCATGTGGGAAAGTGGTGTTCAAAGTTGAAAAGTTAAAACAAAATGTTTTTATGGAATTGGACATGGATCTGTTCGAGATTGTAAGAACTAAAGCAGATCCGTTGAGTTTTGGAAACCCAGTAATATATCTCTCTTGTTTTAGCTTTGGAATCCAGTGCAAAAAATAAAATGACCATGTGTTCAGATTCTGGAGTCAAGTCAAAGGTTGATAGTACTGACTGACAAATTGGGATTATTTGATGTGTCACTTATACCAATCAATGTTATGGTGTTTTCATATAATGGTTATGCTACACACTTCTCATGTAGGAGAGCTAGACTTTGGATGACAGCTGGGACGGACAGAATGGGTTTAATCCAATTGTGTTTCCTCCTTTTCAGTTTATGCACTCTACCAATGACAACACCACGCACTGACTTAACCAACTCTGGAAGACACTCAACAGGTTCCACCTCTTATGGCCCATTTTTGGGCATATGCTTCGACAGCATCCGGAATGATTTTAAAAGTTTTGATCCCCAATTGGTAGGAGGCTGCTCACGATATTTTTGCCCGTTTTGTATTATTGACGTAGGTTGTCGATGTCAACAATAGCGAAGTCACCTGTGATTATTATGACCAACATGATGGTAGCAGTATGATGACTATTGGCAGCCATAAGCAGTGGAATTCACAGCATGAGCTGCCAAGTCCACGTTCTGCAACACATTCCCAAAATTGAATAACCTGGATGAAATGAAAATGTTGTTCCCGAAAGTTTGAAATATTATGTGACATTTTTGGAAAATATTTTTTGTCTGTGAATGTTACTTGAATTTCAGGCATCAATTCCCTTTTTTGGCCAATTTCAAATTAAAAAACAAGAGCGGTCTTTGTCTGATTTAGTGGAGTCTGTTTCTGGTTTGGCCACAGGTTACAAGGCAATGTCAAGAACTATACTCTCTAGCCGATACTGTGGTCTCTTACTCCTTGTAGACCCTCAACCCACCAGCAAACGTTGCTGGAGTCGTTGATTTCCTTCAATGACACAGGGATGAAACAGGACTAACTGGCGCGGAAAAGAGATGGAACAAGTTTATTGAAACCTTTGGCTCAAAACCTTTTGATACCCTCTCGCATTTCCCCATTCAATCCACCTTTCAATGGGCTCCAACAACAAGGATAAAACCCTGGTTTGTCCCTATCTGACCCGGAATACCCTTCGGAGTTCTTTCTCTGATGCGTGGTGACAACAAAGGTTTAATTGCTGCCTGTTGCATTCTTCTGGTGCTGTTTTTCATCCAATAGAGATATTTGTAGCATTAGCAACTATCAAAAGAACCTACGATAATGTTTGAAAATTGACAGGGTCTGATAAACATGTTTTTTTTCTTTTTTCGTTAGAAGCTGACTTTCTGATCTTAGATGCGACAAATGCCAAGGAACTGTGCAAAATACATTCAGAAATCCATTGCATGCGGATCATAAAAACGTATGATGATCTAGCCAGTGTGGCTAGCGGCGAACATTGTACAAGACCTTTGAAAAGTTGAATTGCCATGGGCCATTGAACTTGTGAGGTGAGGTGAAATGGGGTTTAACGTCGCGTTTTCTTGGTTTTGGGAGACCCGAAGTGTTTCCGCTCCAAGGACTTTTGTTGGATCTCAGGATCACTGTGATCGAGCTAGGTCTCATCACCTGTCACTAGCCCAAAATGAAAATCTTCCGGATATCGATTAGGTAAGGTGAGGCGAGTTGAAATTGAGTTTAACGTCGCGTCTCAAATTATTACACTTATATAGCGACGTGCATGTACGTGTGTGTGTTTGTGTGGCTGCTTGTACTAGTCCGGACTGATGCCGATTAAAAGTGTTAGCTCACTGAGATACCATGCCGCAGTTTAACATGAATACCTCACTCAGACACAGTATACTGACTCCGAGCCGACCTGTTCATGTTTTAGCCCCTTAATGCCGTACTCCAGACAGGATAACTGAGTACCATCTTTAAACTCATTTTGTATGACGCGGCCGGGGATCGAACCCCGGACCTTACGCTCTCCGGGCGGACGCTCTACCACTAGACCACGGAGGCGGTCTCATTGAACTTGTGCTAAGTCCTCACGCCGAACTGTTCCCAGTTTTAGTGAGTGAGTGAGTTTGGTTTGGTTTGGTTTAAAGCCGCTTTTAACAGTATTCCAGTTATATCACGGCGTGTCAGCTTAATGTGGGAGGAAAGTCCGAAGTGATGCAGGTCTCAGACGATTATCACTTCGGTGAAACCCACGAGCACGGGTATGGTGCTGACAAACGTAGAAACATAATCGGGGCGAACCGGGATTCAAACCCACAGTCATAGGTTTCTGGCGTGCCCAAGGGACGCAACTGTGCACAGCGAATTTTGGCGCCTTAGACGACTGGGCCACCCATGCCCCGTTCACAGTTTGAACATTGTAGCCGTAACCTACATTTTGAACGATGAAACTCAAGATCACACTCGGAGGATGACCATTAATGGAGCATGAGAAAAGTCACGCGTGTGCTTACACCTAGAGCACAGTTGGCTAGCGTAGTCCACAAAATTAACATAATATTATACATATCCTGTAGTTTTAATGTTCCTACACTATCAATTTTATATTAATTTGATAATGACTGTTATACGAGATAGGGGGTTGTTGGTGTAGTAGGTGCTAGCTAGGCATGTGTTCAATCCTCCACACATGCGCTATTTTTAATCCCTGTTATGTATCTCCAGTCACGGTAAAACCACTATTATCGGATCCTGGAACAACAAAGGCGTACAACTTTTCACAGAGTGTTGCATTGCCTTTGATGACAAGGCGCACCGGCTTTCCCTCCATTAAAACAACGAAACGGTTCCCTCCCATCAGTCAGACAGGCCATTTGTCATACACCTTGTTATTGCCAATCGTCATACAGTCATACAACATGCACTTATTAAGTATGTTTAAGAGTACAAAAGGAAGACACAATGTTCTATATCCATAAATAATTTCATGACGGGTTAACACGGAATATCGTTTGAACTGTAATAAACTGTCATAAAGTAACTTCACTGACATTTTAATTTGATAAGGACAACCCAAGCTGAGACATGTGTATTTACCTACGAGCCCGGTTGTGGAGCAGACAAATCAAGGATTAGAATGGTTTGAGTCCGGGATTCGAACCTCCGATCAGCGGATCCTGCCAATGTCAAAGAGACATAACTCAATGAAAAGAGGTGATGCAGACAACATGCCTTCGTGTGTCATGACGATAATAACATGTAAAGGGCAGTGAAGGGAAAGATAATTCTTGTGATTCCACAAGCAGAACTGAGCCGAGAAGTGTACTCGGGGTAATATTAGAGAACATATTAAAGAAGAACATATAACTGTACAATATCCGCGCCGCAGGCCCAGGTTCGATTCCTGACATGGGTACAATGTGTGAAGCCCATTTCCGGTGTCCCCCGCCGTGATATTGCTGGAATATTGTTAAACGCGGCCTAAAACCATATTCACTCACTCACTCACTGTACAATATCCGAGTGTCGATATGTAGTGGCATTGCATGTACTAGACACAGCAGCCTGACACGCTGTCCGAATACAGAAAACCATTACATCAGGATAACGCTAACCACATCACCTTTCTTTTAATTCAGAAAACCATTCCTTTAATTCAAGATGACTATTCATATAATTTATTACAATCATTGTTTTAATTAAAGATAAATATTCATATAATTCAAGATACTCATTCATATAATTAAAGACAATTTTTCATTTGATTCAAAGATAGCCATTCACAAAATTTAAGATGACCATTAAAATAATTTTCACCGTTTGTGTTTCTTTTACGCCCAATGGGATCTGTGGCGGATAATCAAGACTCATTATATTCCGGCGTGGACGTTTTTCATTTTCACATAATAAGTTTGTTTCCACGTTAACTTGTTTCCTCGCCAAGAAAATATACAAAAACAAACTGAATTAGTTCGTTGCAAACTACAATGCCAATGTGTAATTAAGTTAACCAGTGTTCTGATTAAACACGTTCTCCAATGTCACATGTTTAGTGCCTCCAGTCTGCCAGCCACGCACATACAGCATGTCCAAACTGGCCAATAAAGTGGACATCTCTACACTGATCTACATGTATTGAGTTTGCGAGGGCGGGCACCTTCCGGGAAAGGTGGAGAAGGGTTCATAGTCTTTCATTACTTGAGATTACTGGGATGAGATGAAGCTGAAAGTTTCTCAATTGCTTTGATGTTTTTTGAAAGGTTACGATCAATAACGGAGAAAGTCGATCATACAAATGACGTTTTATTCCATTGTTGTGTAGTCCTCGAGAGATTCTGCTACATAATGGATGGGTCGGGCGAGTACGCTAGAGCTGTTCAACCAAGCTCTCAAGTATACGACAAGTGGTATTGACGGACGCCCTCTGATCAATGATAGCATAGTTTATATAAAATGACATCAAACCATAATTACAGGGGAGGCTGCAAATGATCACTGACATGCACGGCATTCCCAACACCTGCGTGCTATAAAGACCAGCGGTCTTTTCCTTGTTGAGTGTGTAGGGAGCATGTAATATTCTATAGGAGGGTGCAATATTTTCTACCTAAAAGCACCATTTGACTTCACCATCCATCATGAACGTATGTTTTGGTTGCTGCGGTGAAACCCGAAGAACAAGTCTTTTTCTGCATTGTCGGAAACGGATTATTTTAAACATAACATTAAAGCCTCCCGAGAATATCAAATTGTCGGTCAATTTTAGAATGGAAAGCTTTAAGTAAAAAGCACGAAACAGACCAAAAACGATGCAAAATTACATCAATATGAAGTATTCCGATTTTAAATGACTAGAATTATTCTTATTATAAATTGTCATAGTATATTTGTTAATTTGAATTATGAATGTATATTCCAAATTAATCGTTTGAACGAAAGACAGTTTTGAGGTGAGGTGACATAGAGTTTAACGTCGCGTTCAAGATTATTGCTGCTGATATATATATATATATATATATATATATATATATATATATATATATATATGTGTGTGTGTGTGTGTGTGTGTGTGTGTGTGTGTGTGTGTGTGTGTGTGTGTGTACTGGTCCTGATTAATGCCGATTTTATAGTGCCAGCCCACTGAGATACAATATTCTGACTCCGAGGCCCTTAATGCCGAGCGCCAGGCAGGGTAACAGGTAGTACCATCTTTAACGTCATTTAGAATGACGCGACCGGACGCTCTACCACGAAACCAAAGAAGGCGGTGATTTTTGTTCGCAAAAGCATGACACAGGTTGATTAGCACACACATAGGTTTATTCTATTTTTTTCGGAGATGACTGCATATTTGACATAACATTTAACGTTAGTATTGTATGGATATGAAAAGGGAACTGAAATAGTAATTTTGTTTTAATGGAATGATGTTATTTTTATGAAGTGAACATTTTTATGACATCACATTACTTGGTAGATGAAACACACTACTGAAATCATCCCTGGGCCGTAACTATTTTGAACATAATCAATTAAACATAGATGATGCTAACTGCGCCCTGAAAATATAACTTCGAAATCATCTGTTTAAATGTCACCGTGTTATGGCTTTGGTCGAAATGTATTATGAGGGGTAAGTGGGTCGATTTTAATTGTAACACCCGTAAAGTACAATAAAGAAACCTGCATGTACACATCCCACAAGAAACCGATCATTTATTATTATGGCGGGAACCTGGGTGTATTTTTACATTTTTCCAGAAAACAACTTGGAATAATGTCCAGGCATTCGGTTTTACAGAAAAAGGTAATGTTTTCGCTGTAATGTGACAGGAAAAAGAAAATGCTTGGCTCCCGCTTTCACAGAAAATATAGTCCTTAATGCAGTGACGCAACACATATTCCATACAACCATCATATATAGTTACAAATAGGTGTATCATATATATATATATATATGTGTTTCAAAAGGCAGTCCCTAAAAGCATGTATAAGACAAATGTAGATATTATTGTCAGACCGCTAACAAGAACATTGTACATTGGGATATTTGCGATCAAACGTATGCTCAAACTGTTGAACGTCACAATGTGGGATGTGTTTTAGTAAGGTAACTTCTTTATCTGATGTTGCCCGGGGGTAGTAATTATTTCCCCCTGTCCCTACCCCATACCACGCGCCTGTCCCTAGTACGGTATCCCCCCTTGGGGCACACAGGGAAGCCAGTGAGTGTATGATGACGTTGCCAAGCGCGAAGTCGATACCTGAAGAGTACACGACCTCAGTTGCCCACAAACAATGTCCATGAATGTTCTCTAGGTCTTGAGGCAATCACATATAAATGAATGTACGTTACGCAATGCAGCACAAACATTCGGCCCGTGAAAACTAATTACTGGCAGTTGAAATATTCTATTTTTTTATATCTAAAAACATATGTGTCGATTATGTATGCTGGGGTCTTGTTTTAGCATATAGCACAGATGTAATTGGGGAAGACGTATTTTAGGTGTTATGCCAAAATCGATATTTGTTAACGAATGAGTTTATCATTTATGACAGTTATAATAACTTACAATTGTCTTTTTCAACATCTGGACTCCTTGCATATAAATTGCAGGGCATGATAAGGTATACACTTGAAAATTGGATTTGACCAAAAACAACGTTATCAACATGTTACAAGGCTGAAAACAGTCGCTGAAGCAATGCAAACTTAAGATCCAAAACACAACCGTATCATGTACATCACGATCGAGTAACCATTCCGTGTTTATTTCATGTTCAAACGCCATTATGCATGCGTGAATACTTTCTGTTGCCAGGAAGTTTAAAACTTTATGTAACAGTCAGTGAAACTTTATTCACATATGTCGTTCTCAGCATCTGTCAGAATTTACACTGATGCTTAAAGACCCATGTGATAACTCTTTCAATACACCGTCAGTCTCTCCATCTATAGCATGAATGATACATAGATAAGTATCCCAATATGACGACAGTACATTCAATGCTGGAAATGTTGATACATATATGTAATCCACCAGGAGAAAAGTGACCTTATGGGTGCCATGATGCAATTGTGCTGTGACGTCACAAAGAAATATGTTTGACATGAACTTACTTCCTTACAAATCGTCACGTATGCGAACTGTACAAAAATATAATATTTTTCTCTCGTTAGTTCGTAATGTAATAAAAACATTATTTCAAAACATTTCAGCATACACGTCCACTTTCAATTTACCAGACATTATTTCTGAAAACTGCAGTCATTACATAAACAGTTATACGTCTGAAAATAGGACTTTCCAGAAAATGAGTCCAAATTTTTGATGCCATGTATCTCTGTAATAAATATGAATTGAAGCTTATGAATTGTATTTTTGAGGGTCACGGACTAGCCCATAGCCAGATTTTCATTTAAGTTTTTTTTTTCATTTTATGTGTTCGACCATTTCAGAAGTAAAAAAACATGCAAATTAAAGAAAGTGCGCTAGTTGTCAGTTAAGTGAACATGTTTAATACTTATTGTGCTAATATTTTAAAGTGTTCCTCAAAATTAAAATTTGATATATCCAATAGGCCAGAGCGGGTCCTTATGTTATCTCTTTCTTTGTGATCAGAGACATGGAGTGTGTAAATGAGGAAATAAATAATACAAATTTATTTAACGTCACAGTCAGAAATATTCTGGTTTTGTCAAAAGCGGACTGGAAATAATCAGTGTGTTGTTTGACGCCGCATTAAGCATTATTCTAGTTTTGTGACGGTCTGGCAATCGTCAAGCCAAAGAAAAGATTGATAGGAGAAGCAACAGTTCACACCGTCAGAGATCTATGAACGATTGCATCCCAATGTGCCGACAGAAAGTAGAGTTGGCACAATGTGATATGATTTTCAGTGGAAGACGTGATATCTCAGAGTAATGGAACATCCTTGATAAGTATCATGTAATAACCTGAAGTGGAAGATTTATATCCAATTACCTTTATACATTCTAAAAAGATAAAGGGGTACGAATAAAAACCTTATCCTGAGTAGATACATCAATACAATTTTATATGTTTTTACTGAACATGAGTATGATGAACTAACAGTCACTTGGAAGGAAGGCGCAATAAACTCAAGAATCTTATCGCCAAGGCCCATCCAAACATCTTCCGCTTTGTGACCAACATCAAGAACATTGAAGCTGTGAACAAAATCGTGATCTCGGTTCCCTTCCCAACACTCGTAAGCGTGTATATCGTGACCTTCACTCCAGAATTGTGAGTCTAACAGAGCACCTCCAGTCTGGAAGAAAGACTCCATTACAGTTCCAAGACGCGCTGCTGGACATTGGATTAAATTAGCAAAATAGTTTGAGAAATTTGACTCTGGTAACTCCCATGTGCATGACTGTAACCATGACACAATGATATGAATTCCCTTTTGTGAATTTAAATATATTCATATTTCACAAATTTGGGGGGGGGGGGGGGGATGTGCTGGTGCACGGGTGGCCAAGTCGTCTAAGGCTCCGCGATTCGCTGTGCAGAGTTGCGTCCCTTGGGCACGCCAGAAACCAATGATTGTGGGTTCGAATCCCGGTTCGCCCCGATTATGTTTCTAGGTTTGTCAGCACCATACCCGTGCTCGTGGGTTTCACCGAAGTGGTAAACGTCTGAGACCTGCATCACTTCGGGCTTTCCTCCCACATTAAGCTGACACGCCGTGATATAACTGGAATACTGTTAGAAGTGGCGTTAAACCCAACCCACTCACTCACTCACTATTTGGTACAGGAGGCTTGTTCTTCTCTCTGAACTCCACGACGCCACATATAACTGTAACAACCCAATATATGACCATGCATAGATCTTCAACAATCGTAGGATTGCAACTCATGTTATCTATAGCCGTTTGCATGGTTTAAATACCTTCAACTTGTTTATTCTGCCATACTAAAGGGATTCGTTTATTGTTTTATTGATTGGCAATGTCTGCTTCTGGTTCTAAGGACATTATTACACAATTTCGGTCGTTCTTCATTGGTCTTTTACTTGCACTTATGAGGGAAATATTATCCCATTAACAAACTGACTTCAAGAAATGAGACGTTTAACCCGGTTTCTTGGAATAGATAGATGTTCACGATGTTGTATCGCATAAACTAGTTTCATAGTCTAAAAGGACCGCGATAATCATATCACTAGGTTAGCATACCGAGTATAAATAGCAATCTGTTGTAGACAGTGTATAAACAGCAGCAGGGAGATCGTCGTATACGTCATCCGCGGGGAGGATCACGTTGCCGGCGACGAAGCTGGTCTTGAAGTTTACACACCTCTTTTCGATCATCGTCTTGGAAGCAGGTGTGTCAGCAAATCTCGGACTGGCCAAGCAGCATCCGGGCAATGTGACCCCAATGTAAATTGAGATGTATTGACCAATCAGGAAACATTCATGACACGAGTAGCCCGTGCACACACCAAGGGTGTCTCGAAACAAGATCAGCGCTATGCTCGAGAAGTGTAGAGTTGTCTCTCAGTGGGCCTTGCTATGCGGTTGTGTTTTCCTAGCAAAATACATGTATAGGGAGTTTGACACTTGGGTCAGACTGGTGGGTTACGTTTGTAATCGTATATTCAGATCGGTGGGTCGAAAAAACAAAGCACAAAAATTTCCATTTTTTAATACTTGTCTTACGTCCTCTAAATGTTATGTAGGTATGTGAAACGCTATGACTGGGCAGGTGTTTTTTTAGATTTTCAGCAGGTCTAAATATAGCATTTGAAATAATGTATTTATATTGATAGTTACACTCTACTTATTTCTAGTCAGCGGAATAACAAAAAAAGTCTACTGCTCTTCATGTCGATATTTTCTCACATTTCAATTTTTTTAAGTTGGAGGATTCATAAACCAAGTTTACAAAAGAGTTTTGCCTTGACACTCGTAACCAAATGTCATTACAAAATGTATCCGTGAGTGAGTGAGTTGGGTTTAACGCCGCTTTAAATAGTATTCCAGTTATATCACGGCGTGTCAGCTTAATGTGGGAGGAAAGCCCGAAGTGATGCAGGTCTCAGACGTTTACCATTTCGGTGAAACCCACGAGCACGGGTATGGTGCTACCAAACCTAGAAACATAATCGGGGCGAACTGGGATTCGAACCCACAGTCCTAGGTTTCTGGCGCGCCCAAGGGACGGAACTCTGCACAGCGGACCGCGGCGCCTTAGACGACTGGGTCATCCGTGACCCATATCCGTGGAGATCCGGGTTAGAATTGTTTGTATGCTTGTCGTAAGTGACTAACGGGATCGGGTGGTCAGACTCGCTGACTTGGTTGATGAATGTCATCGAATCAAAATTGCGAGATCGAGGCTCATGATATTAATCTCTGGATTGTCTGTCCATACTGGATTATTTACAGACCGCCGTCATATCGCCTAGTGCGGCGTTAAACAACACACAAACAAACATTGCAAATGATCAAATTTAACAAAGGGCGACCATGGAGTTCAGCCTCTCGACAGTGCTACCAAGTTGCCATAAACTGCTACAAAGACTAAAGGAGGAATGTACTATGATTGATTGAAGTAAATGACAGGTTATTTCACTGCAAGAGACAAGGTGGGACATGCACTTGTTTTAACGACCAAACAATGGACATTACGAAACACAGCTTTCATCTAGTAATACGATTGTATGAACTGGTGGAGGAACATTTCATTCATTCAGAGCTTGATTGTCATCCTGGTGTTCAGGACGATCTCCTATCACTGCAACTTTCCAAAGCTTTCAGAGATCATACGCAACCATCCTACGCACTGTAACATGAAGGGGTTTGTCAAATAATCTGTGGACAATGCCATAGGTGAAGGTAATGCTGAAAGATAAGTACAGCTGAACACAAACAACTGTCCATTAGGAAAATTAATGGTGGAGGGACACATATCGACATGAGAGAAACACTTTCTTTTTATTAATGACAGTCTCTGTTCTGGTTGAGGCACAAACACAGGTGAGATGAAATGAAGTCTAGTGAAGTTTAAGATGATTGCAATTATATAGCAACTGCGGCATGGTATCTCAGTGGGCTAGCTCTTGAAAATTGCATTGTCCGTGACCTGTGAGGATCCGGGGTAGAATAGGTCTTCAGCAACCCATGACTGGCCTAAAAGGTGACTATGCTTGTCGTAAAAGGCGACTAACGGGATCGGGTGGTCAGGCTCGCAGACTTGGATGATGCATGTCATCGATCCCAATTGCGTGGATCGACGCTCATGATGTCCATCACTGGATTGTCTGGTCCAGACTCGATTATTTACAGACTGCCGTCATATAGATGGACTACTGCTGAGTGCGCGTTAAACAACAAACCAACCAACCAACAGCATTAGTCTGAACTAGCACAAACAGCCACACGAACGAACACGCACATACATTCATACCTAATTCATGCATACCTCTGTGTGTGTGTGTGTGTGTGTGTGTGTGTGTGTGTGTGTGTGTGTGTGTGTGTGTGTGTTTGCTTATTACTGTGTACTGTGAAGTTACGAAACCCATGTTCCATGAGACGTCAACTGTTGTGAGATACTCATTGGTATAATGATGCATGTAATATCGCCTACCCGCCTATGTCTTAATTGTCAAATTATGAACATGTTCCTAAATTCCTCTGACCCTTGGAAATTACTTATAGATAATCTACATGCTGAGGTCCAACTAACCAAAACGACCTCATGCTTCCTGATTTTATAAGTGACACAGAAAAAGCGATTCCCGGGTTGACTCCGATTATGATCCTTGGTCGATATCGTTCACGTGCTTGTGGTTTACGTCTACGGTATGTACTGTGGATGTTTAGTGTTACTCCAACTCATTTACTTACTTCAGCCCGTGACCCGTGAGGATCCGGGGTAGAATAGGTCCTCAGGACCGGTTACCCATGACTGCCCTAAAAGGCGACTATGCTTGTCGTAAGAGGCGACTAACGGGATCGGGTGGTAGGGCTCGCTGACTTGGTTGGAGGATGTCATCGATCCCAATTGCGTGGATCGAGGCTCATAATATCAATCACTGGATTGTCTGGCCCAGACTTGATTATTTACCGACCGCCGTCATATAGTTGGAATAGTGCTGAGTGCGGCGTAAAACAACAAACCAACCAAATTGTATGATCCGCATGAAATTTGCCGTGACATTGATGTCATATAGTTTCCTCGGTGTTGAAACTGTTGTATAATATTAAATACTGTTAGATTCAATTATATAGAACGAGAGACCGAAGCAATTAGAATAACTGGAGTTAAGAGTTGATTCCTAGGTAAAACGCGGAGGTTAACCAAGAATTCGTTTGGTGTCTAAATTGTGCAAATCAGTAAATAGCCCAACAACGAAATCTAGTTAATTCGAAAGGTAACCCTCAGACTGAACGTCCACATGAAAAGATTCCGGATTAACAAATCACAGTAATTTCATTTACATGTATTTCTACTGTCATACCAGTAACCCTCATGTAGCAGTCGTCATCCCAGTAACCCTCATGTAGCAGTCGTCATCCCAGTAACCGTCATGTAGCAGTCGACATACCAGTAACCCTCATGTAGCAGTCGTCATCCCAGTAACCCTCATGTAGCAGTCGTCATACCAGTAACCGTCATGTAGTAGTCGTCATACCAGAGACCGTCATGTAGTAGTCGTCATACCAGTAACCGTCATGCAGTAGTCGTCGTTCCAGTATCCATTATGAGTAGTCGTCATACCAGAGACCGTCATGCAGTAGTGGTCATACAAGTAACCGACATGTTGTAATTGTCAAGTGAGAATGCGAGGTTTCCGGAATAACATGGTCCGGACTTCCGTTACTGTATATTTGAATCCATTCATTTATTGCTCTAAACATATAAGGTAATCATAATTACAGCACGGGCAAAACATGTACAAACACATTTGATATGAGATTCTCAAAGAGGAAATTTCTCTTGAAGACATCGTCTATTTTCGACCAGTGTGTTTTAAACAATTGCTGGTGTGATTTACCTTATTGAAATGGGGTTTCACGACGTGCATGTACGTGTGTGTGTTTGTGTGGCTGCTTGTACTAGTCCGGACTGATGCCGATTTATAGTGCTAGCTCACTGAGATACCATGCCGCAGTTTAACATGAATGCCCCACTCAGACACAGTATACTGACTCCGAGCCGACCAGTCCTTGTTTTATCCCCTTAATGCCGAGCGCCAGACAGGGTAACAACAAGTACCATCTTTTAACGTCTTTTGGTATGACGCGGCCGGGGATCGAACCCCGGACCTTTCGCTATCCGCTCTACCATTAGACCACGGGGCGGTCTGTTATAGATAGAATCAACTTTGTACAGATGCAATACGTTCAGAATATATTCCTCTTTCAAAGATGTCAATTAAATCTTCGCTCAATCTTTAGCACGAGCATATGAAAAAATTGTGTGTTTTGTCTCCAACGAAATGTGTTTCTTCTTACAAACCCGTTACAAATTGTTCTCAGACCTTCAACTCTGTAGGAAGTAATTTCAGTGCAGTAAAAGACATCATTCCTAAAACCAACAATTACCTTGATCATATTGTTCCAGGCAATGAACCCTACGGGAAAACATAAATTGACAATGGCAAAACGTTAACCAGTGTGGGAGCCATTGTTGACAACAGAAGTGCTGCTTACTAGCACAGTCTCGACACACAGGCAGCGTTTTATTAAAGAAACTGCCAACCATGAACGAGAGGAACTGATTTAATGTTCAAGATGGGAATACTGACAGACTGAACCCAACAGAACTGCGTCTAATGTTTAACCTCTTGACTACGAAACAACGAATAAGGCTCTGGAATGGCTTGACCTAAGACCACTTGAACCTTCTGTATATCCGCTGCTGAAATTCACGTGATATAGATCTGGTTTGACTCTTCTAGGTGACACTTCCACTAAATCCCAATTATCAAAGTAAATCCGAAAATATTGTGTGGTTCGCACTCCCCTGTTCAACTTCAGACAAACTTTTGAATGAAAACACAAATTGTCTGTGGTGTAAAAATATGTAAAAATCAAACGTGCTTTATTTATAATTTACTCTCAGATATTTACTTTTCCCTGAAAATTGTAAGTAGGGCAAGACATGTTTACCCTTTTCGCGAACACCTGGTGTCATCACTGATTTGTCAGTAGTCTATTCATATAATTTCCGCAGCTATTTTGCCCTTTACGCCAAATGGAATCTGTTTCGGCAGACAATCTTAGACTGGTTATTCTCTTATTTATATGTTATTACGTATCGTTACTTAAAGAGTTATAAACGAATTATTCATTAAGGCTTGATAGACATTCAGAAGTTGGGAAAACATAAGGACATTAAGCCCATTACAGCAAGTGAAGATAATTTCAAATGGAGCTATTGATTGTGATGTTATTAATATAATTACTCTTGATGACGAAGATGGTGATGATGATGATGTTGATGATGATGATGATCATGATCATCATTATCATTATTATCATTATTATTTAGCATAACTGTAACATATAATTTAAAAATTCTTCAAACTACGCTCATAATATATATAGTTAATAAATATCTAATGGATTTTACATGTTCAAAGTTATTATTTTACTTTGTTTATTTATCATCACTGAGTTGATAACCATACTCAAGGGGCTAAAAGATCAATTAACTGATACATTATAAACGCAGCATGTGTTATTATTAACATATATATGCCACCATTTACAGTTGTATATCAGTACCAAAATTGCACACACATAAAGAATTTTATAAATACATACTACTTTAAGGTATCTGGCCATATAATACATATGAAGTACACCCTTGGCTTATGAATCTATTTACAGAAATTGCAACAAAAAAGTAGGACATTTCATGTAGACCGTGTCTAAATCGAGTTCAGACGGACAAATACCATACCGTAAAAACCGTCTTTGGATTCTGCTTTAACCAGATGTTTCCAATAGATTATTCTACAAAAAGGAAGTGTTCACAGTATTGATTGGAGAGTATAGTTCTTTACAACATTGCTTTGAAACCTTTGGCCAAACCAGAAACAGACAAAACTCATCAGAAAAGGCCGCAATTTCCTGAATTTGAAAACCGCTAACAAGGGAATTGATGTTTTAAATGTAAGGAAAATTCTCAGACAAAAAAAACCAAAACGGTTTCCCAAAATGTCACACAATATTTCTAATGTCAGGAACCACTAACATTTGTGTTTTTCTGTACGAACGCCATGTCATCCAAATTGTTTAATTAGAAGAACGTGTGGCAGAACGTGCTTGTAAATTCCGGTAATTTTGGCTGCCAAGACTCATCGTGATGCAACCAACCTGTTATATGATCAAATGTTTCTCTCTATTGTTTACAATAACAACCCTCGTCAGTTATTCAAATACAGATCACAACTGATGACACCATTAAAATCATGACAGATGCTGCCGAAGCGTGATAACATACATACATACATATAGAGGTATATTACTGGGTCCAGCAAATGTACTACAAATCCCCGTCTCAAAGATTAGCCGTAATCCTTGACACACACAAAAAAAGACTTTCTATATACTCACAGAAAGTATTTGATACATATGAGAGACATTTGCAATATCAGAAAAGCACCAATTTCATTTGCGTTGAAACATTTGATATTTTGATTTTGCACACCACTGTAACTCTTACGCCAAACTTAAGGGAAAACTTAATTCTTTGATGTATGGGACATTTGTGACAAAATATTAGCCATAGATATAGTTATAAATCTATCTTCAAAGGTTCATGACAACTTGTCAAAAATGAAGGCAAATGTCAAATTAAGTTTACTGAGAAAACAATATGTTAGATGGTGGTTTTCCTGATAGATAACATCTATGTGAAATCTGGTCATAAGACATTTCGGCAAGACGTTGGCATCCGCCTTGGCACCAGCTGTGCTCCCTCCTCGCTGTTTCCTTATGCATTCGAGTACGAATTTATGCACGGATTGGCAAAAATTAAAACACAAAATGCAGGTATATCGATGATCTGGTATTGTTCTGTTATGGCGAAATATCCAATTTCGTTCCACCGATTTACCAACCTGAGCTAGAAGTAAAAGAAACCAGTACAACTGCCACATCAGTGTCATGTTTTATATCAATGCATAAAAGACGATGCACAGGGGTGTATGACTTCACACTTTGCAAAAGCCAACTTTCCGTTTATATCGTGCACTATTTCTTCTGGTACAGCCTTTGGTGTTTAGATTTAACAACATTTGAGATACAATCGAGCATTCTCTTTCTACGAACATTTCAAAGAGCGTCATGCGACTCTTGCTAGTATGATCACTATGTGATATTTATTCATAAACCCTTGCTTACCAAATAGTCGAACTCGTACAATGGACGTAATACTTATGACTATTAAAAGGGGTTTTCGCTCATATTTTATTCTATTCACTGGTCATTGTGATGAGATAGATGCACATTATTTTTTACGTATCGGAATTATCGTGTATTAGGTTTGAAGCAATATTCCAGCTACATGACGGGGTTTCTAAATATTCGTCTCTCAACGCAAATGGCATACGATGACATGTATCAACCAAGTCAGAGAGTCTGACCATCCGATCCATTTAGTCGCCTCTTATGACAAGCATAATTGAGGAGGACCAATTCTAACCCTGATCTTTATAACCTTTGTCTAGCATGTTTAGATAGAGGTTATAAAGCCCAGGGTTAGTGAAAGATTTCTGACGTATGAAGTATTTTCTCCCAGGCAGTAACACATGTATCAGACCATAATACCAGGTGTATGCGACGGGTTAGCGCATCGATAACACAGTCAATTACATGATAAACACATATAATTCTTATCGAAGTGTTAGATTTATTTGGTGAGGACATTGGGTCCTGAGCAGGGCGTTGGGTTGGAGTAGAGCAGAAGATACAGTGGTGGTAACAGTGGCACATACTGTAGAAAGGGGCTGAAGATAGAGTAGAACGTACAGCAGAACATTGAGCAGAAAAGAGTAGAACATACAGCAGGACAGAACAGAACATACAACAGGACAGAACAGAACAGAACATACAACAGGACAGAACAGAACAGAGCAGAACATACAGCAGGACAGAACAGAACAGAGCAGACCATACAGCAGGACAGAACAGAACATACAACAGGACAGAACAGAACAGAGCAGGACATACAGCAGGACAGAACAGAACAGAGCAGAACATACAGCAGGACAGAACAGAACAGAGCAGAACGCACAGCAGGACAGAACAGAACAGAGCAGAACATACAGCAGGACAGAACAGAACAGAGCAGAACATACAGCAGGACAGAACAGAACAGAGCAGAACATACAGCAGGACAGAACAGAACAGAGCAGAACATACAGCAGGACAGAACAGAACAGAACAGAACATACAACAGGACAGAACAGAACAGAGCAGAACATACAGCAGGACAGAACACAACAGAGCAGAACATACAGCAGGACAGAACAGAACAGAGCAGAACATACAACAGGACAGGACAGAACAGAACAGAACAGAACATACAGCAGGACAGAACAGAACAGAGCAGACCATACAGCAGGACAGAACAGAACATACAACAGGACAGAACAGAACAGAGCAGGACATACAGCAGGACAGAACAGAACAGAGCAGAACATACAGCAGGACAGAACAGAACAGAGCAGAACGCACAGCAGGACAGAACAGAACAGAACAGAACATACAGCAGGACAGAACAGAACAGAGCAGAACATACAGCAGGACAGAACAGAACAGAGCAGAACATACAGCAGGACAGAACAGAACAGAGCAGAACATACAGCAGGACAGAACAGAACAGAACAGAACATACAACAGGACAGAACAGAACAGAGCAGAACATACAGCAGGACAGAACAGAACAGAGCAGAACATACAGCAGGACAGAACAGAACAGAGCAGAACATACAACAGGACAGGACAGAACAGAACAGAACAGAACATACAGCAGGACAGAACAGAACAGAGCAGAACATACAGCAGGACAGAACAGAACAGAGCAGAACGTACAGCAAAACATACAGCAAAAGATTGGGCAGAACAGAGCAGATCATAAGGCAGACAGCTATTCTGATGGCATCCCTAGGATACGTAGTCCCAGACATTGTCACCCGACTTCTTAATTTCGCAGGCCATTGGACACTAGGTATCTTTTACCTACCGAGCCAAGGGTACAATGTCACTGTACAATAACATTGTGTTCGTGGGGACGTGGCGTTTACAATACCATCGGGACATGACGGATGACCTAGGTGTTACACGGGGCAGCTGTTACTGACCCACTGAACCAGTTTCGTACAGCCTTATTAAGGTGAGACCCAGTCACAAGTGATGAAGGATAGAGTGTCGGAGAGTGCAAAGTATCATCCATCAGACTGCACAATGTGCCGATCCACAACAGAGATGTTCCTGTAACAGCGGGTAAGATTGACAACACATTTAGAGTAATAACATCAGATGGAGTTCTCTAATGAGTGACAATTCCCCATGAAACCCATCGCCTCGTCCAATCCGGACTGTCGTTTTCGCACCTTAACAACCTGTCATCAGAGTCGACAAGCGTGAAGAGAATAATTCCTCAATCAAACATTTGAATGCAGAGCCTGTTCAATCATATTCGAAACTCTCCCCCAAATCGAGGAACGGGCCCAAGAAAATTGAAACGTACCATAAAAGAATCCACCACTCACGAATGAATGTAAACAAGTAAAGTTGTCAGTGATGTTATTTGTGTGTCCGTAAACGGGTGAGCGTTGCTTAACTTACATAATGGATAGGAGGATATAAAATATACTATTTGTTAAGGCTGCGCGCTCGAGGACATGGCATAACTTAAAATAGGTTTTCGGTTCGAAAGGACAAGCCCTAACTGTGCCACTGGTGCACGTGAAATGTGTTCTGTGCCACTGGTGCACGTGAAATGTATGCTGTGCCACTGGTTCACGTGAAATGTGTTCTTTACCCCTGATGCATGGACGCAAGGTCTGTAGCGAGTTGGTCTTTAACATGCCTAGTAGTGTATTGTATCACTTGCATATTGTATTAACATTTTACCGTGTTCATAGATGACAATTCGAGCCTTGCATTATCTAATTGCTTGAACATGAATGTGGTACGTGTGTTATTTCCTATGCCATATTTGATTACAGTGCTGGCAAGATGTAAGAAAATATTAAGTAGTCATTTCCACACAATGTGACCAGATGTCACGGTAACCAAGGTTGGCTGTGACAGGTTCTCAAATTATACATTCTCAAGATCCGCTGATACAGATTTTCTCTTATTCCATAACCAAAACATCTTTTCCTACTGCAGTCCGAGATGATAATGGATATTAAATATAAAACGTCAATGCAAGAGAGTAACCAGTCTGGAATATCCGCCGAAACAGATTCCACTGGGCGTGGAGGGCACAACAGTTAAACATTTTTTATGTAAATGTACTCACTGAAAACTCACATCTAGGAAATAAGAATTGGCAGTTAACGGAATCGAGTGGTGTTAAAAATATGTTTTTGAGTGACAAAACTACAGTGATTGCACAAATGGACTAAACGCATGACAATGTATACCATGTGAAATTCCTTCGTCATAAACTATTCACATATAGCTGTGGCCCGAAAAACACAGTGACTACGCCAAGGTCCTTGACATGCCATTATTTTAACAGATACACGCTTTGTTTCAATGCATGTTATAAGCAAAGAGATCAGCTGACAATAAACAGTCATACATTATTGTGCCTTTTCCACGCCAAGAACCCATTAGGACATCGTTCCATGTCGGCTGATAATTAGCGGTTACCCAAGTCAGCAATCCACTTCCACATGTACATTGGCGGCAACAGTTCGTACATGGTATTGATCGAAAGTTTGTGACATTTCTATTCCATATAACCAAATCCTCCTTACTGTAATAATTGTTACAGAAACCCGACGATAACAACATCTCTCTATACTCTGCTCACACTTGCTTCCGGTAAGGTGTATTATTGCTGAAAGGATACAATCACGAAACATACTCTCAATTTGTAGGATAGATCTTGTTGTGACGCTAGCATACTTTGTTACACAGTGGTTTTTGCTTGGTAATATGATCTTCGTTATCTGTCTTAAAGATACACCACCCCAAGGCCCCTCTGCACAAGGACCAGCACTGAGCCTGTTAATGGAATGCGATTTTGTAACTTGAAACTCAACAATCTCTGCTCAGATCTGACCAATGGAGGATATAGTAAGTACTAATGCACTTTTGATAAAAGAATGAGACGATGTCATCTGTTGTTCCCCACGTTTCATAGCAACAATTAAATCAACAGTTAATGTTAAAAGAGTTGTGTTAAGTTTAAAAAGAGGTTTGACGTTGAAAAATGGCATCGGTGTACCTTTATATATCAATTACACTTGTCGAAACTCGGACCTGATCTCTGTGATTGAATTCTAGTATGAATCCTTTCACCATTCAAAGAAAACACAAGCCTCACAAGATCCGATTGGACCCATTTATTACACATCCCATTTGTTATAGCAGGACATGCTTGTCATGTTCCTGTACACCTGATGTCATCACTGATTTCCAGTAGTCCAAATATACGATTGTCGTCACTGTTTTGCCCTTTTCGCCCGGGGAGTCTGTTTCCGGGAAAACACCGATTATTCTCTGGCGTTGACGTTTCATATTTACACAGAGGAGAAGGGATAAGATGAGATAGCACCTACTTGCTTAACGGTCAATCCAGTCAACTAATGGCTAAAATCATTTTTTTCAATGTTATAGTCAAGCATGGGTATTTTAAGATACGAATCTGAAACACTGGTATATATTATCTTGTTTGCGGGAGATATCGTTCTTACTAAATGAACTTTAAGAACAAATACAGAGTTCAAAAAGATATTTCTGAACTGTGGCTAACGTGAGAACGTCGGGGAAAAACATTGGACAAGCCTCGCTGACCTTGGGGCACATTCCAGTGATGACGTATTTACTATAAACCTGGAACATCCTGTGTTTGTAAGAGGGAGCCGTAATCGTTATAACCCGTAACCAACTGTTGTGGGGTTCATGTCTGTAAGGGAGAGATAGTTGACGTTCGTCACCCTCATCCTGGGCATTTACTCTTCAGGACAAATTAGTTAATTTGCCACATGTATATGCTTTGTATCGTTGGACCCCGGAGCGGAATAGGTCAGAGTAGCCTTATATACAGCGACGTTCATACACGTGTGCATGGCTGCTTGCTCTAGTTGGGATATATGCCAGGTTTTATAATGCTAGCCAACTGAGATACCATGCCACAGTTTGATATGGATATCCCACTGTGACACAGTTTACTGACACAGATTCCATCAGTCCCTGTTTTCCCCCTTAAACGGCATTACACTTTGTTTATATTTATTTAAGAACATGCAAAGGTAAATCATATTCTTCAGAAGAGGCGACGATGGTTGCCGAATGACCAAACAGGCTAAGGCTGAAAACCCCAATGAACTGCCAAGGTGGACTGCACCCCCTGCACTGACCTTAGTGATAAAGAATGCTCGAGGGTTCGAGGCGTAATATAACGCCAGTCATAGGATGAAGGAAAGCCGGGAGTTGGTAATGGTCGCCGCGGCGAGATACTTGACAGGGCAATGTTTGTTCAGAGGGGACGACGTATGTCAACATACCTTATGGAATGAGTAGGGAAATGGTAGGCGGGGGAGGGGACGTGGGGGGGATGGATTAATGGTGGGTGATATCTGTGTCACTAGGACATAAAACACCAAACAGGAAATCACATATTTCATGGAATAATGGCGACGTGTTTAAGGAATTGACAGAGAATTAGCGTTTACTGAAATAGCAGCAAATGGCATCAACCATACATTAAGCCTGGCCTTCAATCGGTAAATAACAGTACTTCAGTCAGCTCTGACGTTCACGGCCCAATAATGACCCCCTGTGCTCCAGGAGGGAAATAGACATTAAAGACAAAAGTCAGGCCTCGGATTTTACAGTAAGTCGAGATAATCAAGGAGCGTTGTATTTCAGATGGAACGTGCTTCAATTAAGGTTATATCATCGGACGTTCAATGTGAGTACCACCTTCGTCAGTCTGGATGTGCAGGATTACGACGGATAATTAACACCGGTCAGAGAAACCACAATATAATGATATTGCTTGTTGGTTAGTGTAACATCGTACATCAACTGTGATTTCAGTACTCGAAGGTTACTCTCAAAAGTTTACCTTAAATTTCCAGGAGTGATTGGATCGTTGCAAAATGACAACTAATAATGTCATTTTCCACATTGGCAGAGTGATGTAAGAACAACTAAAAAAATAAGCACTGCCCCTCTTTTACATGATGACTATAAAGTCAATATTTCCATACTTTATCATTATCATGCCTGTATATCCAAGCACAACCCTTCACCCAAAACCCCAATCATTCCAATATTAAGGCGTTACTCACAGCAGTATTCATTTTAATGACCCCTTTGTGCGTTTCCACTTCTTCAGAATGTGTCCAGCAGATGTGTATCACTGACATATTTCATCAGACAGAGTGAACGGACAGCATGAAAGTGTACAAATCACTGAATGGTACTAATAACAGAGCACGTAAATGTTACGTTGGAATTAATTTGGTCTACTCCATATCCGAGTGATTAGGCGTGAATTTTAAATACAAAAATTAGGACATCAAAAGTTCTGAAATATATATGGAGGCTGGGTGAGGGTTAGTCAAATGTACAGTTGTGTCAGCTGCTGCTGTATTTCCGCCGTGGCTCCTAATTTAGGTTCCTTTGCTTTATAGAATATGATGTATGCTTATGACTTTGAACATGTGGGGAAGTTATAGAATAATATGTTACAAACTGGACCTGTTGTAAGATAACGTCATCTGCCAAGGCAATTCTTCCTTCAGCCAAACATGTTTTCGTCTTACAGATTCTGCATCACACTTCTGGGCCTCAATGGCATCACAGACAACATGGAAATACGATCAATGTGAATTTGTCATGGGATGTCCTCTTTTAAACTTGTGTTCGTGTGCGATTCCACTTTTATAAGGTAAAAATGAGGTAAATATCTACCATAGTTAACTTAACAAAAACGATATGATGTTACTGGAAGTAT